AGTGTGTGTATTGATTTTGAAAAGATTTAAAACTTTAAGTGATCATTATCAAGATCATTTAAACATCATTTTGATTATCAAACAAGGGTGTGAAATCATTGATTTCCAAAGTTATACCCCTAAATTCAAAAGTCATTTTATGCTAATGAAGTTTCTAAAATTTTTATAATTATGGGAATTATTGTTTTATCTTGTAGTTTGGCAAAGTGAAGGGGGTTTCTATCAATTAAACCCATTTTTTATCAAAGTTATCAAATGAGTTAGTTAAGATTATAAATTACCCATTTCCCATTTTGATTAAGCCTAAATGTTCATTAAATTTTCATAATTTGTCAAATTAAAGTCAAATGACTTTGGGATTTTTATGTAACCCTACTGAAAGGTCAATTAAGACATCAGAGGAGAAAATGTGAATTTTCACAATTTAATTTAATTCATATAATTATTTTCATCCAAAAATATGCATCTTCAAAGAAAATTCCAAAAGATGATCAAGACAATTCCTAATCACTTGAAATTTTTATATAAGCTAGCCCTAGATCAGAAAGTCATTTGGCCAAAATTTCATAATTTTTTCAATTTTCTGTGATTTATTAAAATTAATTGTAGTTTTGGGGACTTTAATAAAAATAAGATGTTTTAAGTGTTGAAAAATAGATTTTTTTTTATTTTTTAAAAATCTCTTTGAGGTTAGAGAACTCAAGGAAATTTATTTTGTATTTTTTTTATTTTTTATTTGATTTTTTAGAATTATTTTTTGAAAATTCCATTTTTAAACCTTAAAAAATTAATTTAAGGTTCAAAAATAGATATCTTTATTTTCTAATTCAAGAAAAATATTCTAATTTTTCCTAAGTGTTTAGAAAGTGATTTAGAATATTTTTATGTTCTTTGTGATTTTTGTAATTTTTAATATTTTTTTAATTATTAAAATAATTAAAAAAAGGATTAAAAATTAGGTTTTTATTTTAAATATCATTTTATTTTTATTAAATCCCCCTGATGTCAGAGAACTAAAAAAACTAGGTTTAATAATTTTTGGAGTTATATTTTGATTTTTGAATATTATTTAAGTGTTAAATTTGATGATGATTTTTCAAAAATTAATTAAAAACATCAAATGATCTCAAAATCCTTTAAAATTTTTATGGTGACTTCTCTAACTCATGAGCCATAGTGGAAAACAAAAATCAAGTGATTTTGATCTCTATGTACTCTAAATTAAATGTTTTAGTTACATTAGTGTTTGCCCAAAATAGTGATGTTTTCATTCCTAAAAATCATGAAATTATTTCCTAAGACTACTCTGGCTATAGGGAACTTACATGAATTTTTGTAAAATTTTCTAAGCCACATACAATTTTCTATAATTATTTGAGTATAAAATGCATAAAAACTTATAAAATTAATATCTTTGTCTAGAGATCTCCTATGTCTTTGGAAAAATGCTCAAATTGTGCACCTAGATAGAGGCTACAATATATAAAAATTTGGGGTCAAGCTGATAATCTAATATGAATGGAGAATTGAAAAACCCCTAACCCTAATTCATTTTTTAAAAATAATTTATGCATCAAATTAATGTGAAAATAATTCTATATGATTCTCCTCTATTTACTGAGCAAGAGGGTATTTTTTATTTTATTTTTTTGAATTTTCTTTGCAAAGATATGGATCTTTGAAGTTTAGGGGCTATTTTCTGAATTTATTAAATACCCCTATTTATTTACTCAATTATTTATTCAAACCACGGGCTGACTGGATCATCGCATCCGTCCAACAGCCACGCGGCGTGCTTCTATTCAAAGGCGCATTTTGAGTTAGTTGCCACGTGGCCCGCCATATCATTCTGAGGATCATCCGGCTTGATCTCCGCCATCCATTCAATACGCGCGAGACTGG